TCCGGCGCAATCTGACGGCCTCGCTGACGACGCTGTCGCCCACCAAAACAACGACCACCTCTCAACAACAACAACAACAACAACTACCTCAAACCCAAACGCAGACGCCTGTCAAGCGGCCTTTTGCCGAGCTTCAGGAGAACCAGACAGCAACTGGAACATCGCTGGTGGTCAAGGACGAGAACAAGATTGAGCTGCAGAATCAGCAGACCGTTAAGAAGACCGTCTCGGTCGAGTCGCCCGCCAAGCGGCAGCGAGTCGCCGCCTGTGGCCTCGACTTTATCGAGAGGGTGATAGCGGTGGAGCAGCAGTCTGCCACCACCACCACCTCTTCAACGGCCATCACCATCGAAGTTCCGGAGACGCCCGTCAAGAGCCTTCGCACGCCGCTGGGCAATCGGGACAGTAACCAAAATGGTGGTGGAGGTCTTTGCACCGCCCCTTCCCTTGCGTCCCACAGCCTCAACTTTACGACGCCCACAAAGGCGCCGCTGGCGATGGAGGTGGACCATCATCACCACCACCACCACCACCGTCTCCACCCGGCGAGAACGCCCGTGAAGGGCAATGACAACCTCGAGTATCGGACCTGCGTGCCGGATACACCGCCAGAGAAGATAAATAGGTATCTGCAGTTTGCCTCCTCGGCAAAGGCAGTGTTGAAGCAAAAGGTTTGCCGTTTAACAAACACATTTGTTTCTTCAAACCAAACTAATCCCTCTGTACCTTTTCACTAGGAAAATAAAAGCAACACTACCATCACCACCACAGCGACGACCATCACCGCCAGCTCCTATCAACACCACCACCACCAGCACATCTCCAACAACTACAGCACCCCAAAGTCGATCTCCTTTACGAGCATGAAGCGTGGCATGCAGCCATCGAAACGCCCTGAACTGAGCACTTCAGCGGACCTTCACCAACATCAACAGCAGCAGCCTGCAACAACCAAGGCCTGCGAGTGCACCGCCCAGGCCTACATCTGCCACGGCTGCCTCTCCAAGCCGGAGCTGAACGTCCCCAGAGCGGGCACCCCTGGCTTTCGCGCCCCGGAGATTCTCCTTCGGAGCGGCAAGCAGACCGCCAAGCTGGACATCTGGTCGGCGGGCGTCATCTTCGCCAGCATCCTCAGCGGCCGCTATCCCTTCTTCCGCACCATGGACGACATGACCTGCCTCGCGGAGATCGTCACCATCTTCGGCTCGAGTCGGGTGAAGCGGGCGGCCGCCGCCCTCGACAAGTGCCTCATCATCTCCGGCGGCAAAGGCGGCAGTGGCGGGCGCAAGCTGCCGCCCATTGACCTGAAGGACCTCTGCACTAAGCTGCGCGCCTCGCTGGAGGCCGCCCAGCCCGCCGAGGTGCTGGTCGGCTTTGAGGCGCCCGACAGCGCCTACGACCTGCTCGGCCACCTCCTCGACCCCAATCCGAACAGTCGCTTCTCGGCGGCCGAAGCCCTCAACCATCCCTTCTTCAAGGAGAAGGGCCACAGTCTGATTAACCTCATCGTCGAATGACACCAAACCGATTCTATTTAGCCCATCTTTTAATCACCCTTTTTAAATCGCTCCCTTTTTAGACATCATAGCCTTAAAATCCCTTTTTTGAACCCTCCTTTTACCCACCCGCTATTTTTTATACCCTACTCCTTTTGTTTGGTGTTCAACACCACCACCACCATCATCGCCATCACCATCCTACCTAGGCATCCCCTTTACCAATGCTTTCACCATCATCATTTCTATTCGTTTGTAATTCTACATACCACACACATTGACAACTGCCAGCGGTCTTTCAACCCGATGCCATCTCCGATCCATCAACAAACCACCACTGATGATGTTATTAACCAGTTTAACACTCTTTTACACACTAGCCATTGTAGTAATTAAAGTTCAAATTAATAAAAATGCTTCGAAAGTTCGAAAAAAATTTGCTTTTTTTAGCCCACTGAATAATAAAAATAAAATCTTAATAAAAAAAATAGTCAGTTTTCCCGCTCTGATTTTAGCTGATAAACTTTCTGAAAGCCAAAAAACCGCCAAAAGCAAACAGCAACCAAGTCATGGCCGACGACGAGCTCGACTGCTCCAGCGTCTTCAAGGAAGAGGACAAGAAGAACGTCTTGGAGGATGGAGAGGAAGGGGAAGAGGAGGAAGTTTTGATGGAGGAAGATGAAGAACCGGATAGCGAGGGCACCAACAAGGCAAAGTCCTCCTCCTCTTCTGCAGCTATGCTGGAGTACATGGCCGGCAACCGAGACCTGTACCGCCTGCTGGACACCGTCTACACCGGTTCGGTGGAGCTGCTCAAGAAGATTAAAAGTGGACTTCAGCAGCAGGGACTTCTGGCGTCGGTTACCTCCTCATCATCCTCAGAGAATGATCTGCAGCCGATGTCCACCTCCAGCACTTCAGCTGATGATAACAATGGCCGTCAAGAGCATTCTTCGGCCATCCAAACTGAAGAGGGGGCTGAAGAAGATGGCGGCTCCAGCGTCGAAGAAGCTCATGGAGCTCCTCCTCACGCCCACTTCTACGACCACAACCTCTACCACATTGACTAGTAGTGGTGGTGGTGGTGGTTATGATCCTCTTCTTTCAGGATCACCACATCCTCAACACTTTTATCGCATTTTACCGCCAAATTGTACTGCACAACACAGTGCAGCAGCAACCGCAGCACATGTCAACACAGTGTAGCCACAGGCCAACACACAGCACCAAGCACAACAATAAACTCCCGCCAAACACAGAAGCGGCTTGCCGCCAGTTGGCCCCCCAAGATTGCGCCACTCTGCCCGCTGAAATAAAAACACTACTACTACTAAACACTAAAAGCTGGGGAAAGTTAGAAGTTGGAAGTTGAACACTGCTGTCAAAGTGAAGTGGAGGAAAAGAAAAGGCCATCCAAACAGGCACAAAATGTTGAGCAAAGGCAAAGCGAAATGGAAGCGGGAAAGGAAGGCGCCAAAACATGTTTGGCCGTCTTATCAGTCCACCACTATCGAAGAGGGAGAGAAAGAGCGGGGGCTTTAGCTTAGGTTAGCTCTCATCCTACACGTTCACCCTCTCAAACAGCAGCAGCAGACAGTGCACAGTCATAGTCTGATTGATGGTACTGAGAAGGAGGGAGGGGGAGAGAGAGAAGATAAGTGGAAAAAGATCACCAGCAGTCGCAGTCGCAGCCGCAGCCAAACTGGTGACTACTAGCTCTACTCTTCGCTGACCCCAGCGAACATCTCATTTCATGGCAGTAGTCTTTGCTTTGCTTTAGCAGCAGCAGCAGGGTCTGTGGACAGACGTTCACCTCGAGAAGAAGGAGCGCAACTCCACCTCGGTTCACCTCCTCAGCAGCCTGAGCAGCCTTAGCTCAGCTCTTAGACGACCACGAACAAGAAGAAGAAGACTTATTAGTTAGCAGCAGTGCTAACACTAACATTCCGCAGTGCTGGAAAGCGGCAGCGGCGACGGCGGCCTCTGCTGCCTTCTTCCACTTTACTTTACTTCTCATGTATATGCATGAAGATCCCCTCTCTTTCTCTCTCTCTCTTTCTCTCCCGGTAATTGCCATTGAGGTAATATTAGGGAGGGAAAGAAAGAGAGAACTAGAAAGCACATGAGCCAAATGAGAGCGAACTGAAAGCAAAGCAGAGGGCAAGGCGGCGGCGGCGGCGGAGGCATCATCATCATCGGCGCTTCAAATTCAAACTTCGCTGTAGGCGCGAAGATTTGCGCTCGCTTGCAGGCTGCCGAGAGGACTAGAGCAAGTGTACGAGTAGCTACGAGTGTAGCTAAAAACTAAAAACACTAAAAAGCGCTAAAACGTAAGCAAATTCACAGGAAAGGAAAAACAGAAAAAGAAAAAGAAGCGGTAGAATTAGCAACAGCAAAACCGAGATAATCAAGACCAGACCAGACCGCGCGCGCGTCATCTCATCAGTCAAACTCAATCGACTCGTTCGAGCAGAGATCCAGAACTCACTAAAAAACCGAGCGAAGAGGAGAAGTAGTGGGCAATAGGCAAATAGAATAGACAGGCACGTTCTCCGCTGTTTTTCTACCTCCACCACCACCAACTCAGCTCAACTCAGCTCTCTCCCTCTACTTTGGCCGTTTGTTTATGGATTTAGGCAGAAGCTCTCGCTGGCTCTGGCTCTGGCAGTGAGATTACACTGCCTGTTTGCTAAGCTTCTTCTGCCAACTACTAAAACTCTACCACCACCACCACCACCACCTAAGCCTCATCTCAGCCCATACCATCGAAGAGAGTGCTCCTTCTTCTTGTGTTCAGAAAGTCCTTCTCCACCTTCTTCTTCTTCTTCCCGGGCTTCACATCATCATCATCGTTCTGAGAAGAAGAAGAAGTGTACTTGAAGCTTCAGCTAATGCGAGTCCTCGCTGAGAGGGTGAGCATTGCCATTGCAGCTCTCACCCTCTGTTCCTAAGGCTCAACCGAACGACCACGACCACGGCGGCGGCTGCCGTTGGCAACACACAGCCAGCCAGTCAGTCAGGCCGGACGTCGTCCTCAGTAGTAGTCACAGTGTGTCCACAGCAGTTCTTTCCCCTCTTATTTCCCTCCCCTCACTAACTTTGCTGGTGTCCTCGACGATCAGAGGAGCACTGCTCAATGTGCGTCGCAGGCGTTTGCCTGTGTGTGCTTGTGTGCCTGTGCTCTAGCAGCAGCAGTGTGCACAAAGTTGAAGCTATAAAAGGAAGGCTCTCAGTAGTAGTGTAGTGCTCGCTGCATGTGTGCACGAATGACTGCATTCCTTGCACACATACACTCACTGCATTTTATCCCCCTTCTGCCATTTCTTCCCCCCCCCTCACATCTGCCGTTGCCGATGATGATGGCGGGGAGGGAGAAAAAAGTTTTAACGACTGAGAAGAGAAGTACACACACGTACACAGCAGTGTTGGTGGTGGTGGCAGCTGCAGTGAAGTGCAGCAGTTCCCTGCACTCGCTCACTTAGGATCAGGATCACCTACTACAGTTACAAAAGAAAGCGAACTAAGGGCTCACTGGGCTCAGTAGCAGCCAAAGTGGGGAACATTCGAAACGAGCAGAACTAGTCAGCAGTCTTCGACCGAGCCATCATCAGAGCAGAGTTTGCCCCGGCCGGCTCGCTTTGTCGAAGCTGAAGCTCTCTCCCTCTCGCTCTTCAACCGTCGTAGTTTGGCCACCCTCCCTCCCTCCACTGCCACCAAATGGCAACGACGACGAAGAGAGTGAGGGCAGACAGAAAGAGACAGAGTGAAATACGAGCGTGAAAGCAAACGAAGCAAAGTGAGGGAACAGGCAAGGCAAGGCAAGGCAAGGCAGGCGAGTGCTGACGCGAACATAAAAGGAAATGAGAGAGCGCGGGGAGAAAAGTGCTCACCATCCCAACTCCAGANAAGGCAAGGCAAGGCAGGCGAGTGCTGACGCGAACATAAAAGGAAATGAGAGAGCGCGGGGAGAAAAGTGCTCACCATCCCAACTCCAGAGCAGCAAGCACCACCACTACTACTACTACAGGCAAAACTCACACTGTCGAAACGCCAGCCACTGTCGACGCGGACAGCGCCACCATGCACAACTGTGAGCGTTTTTGCGGCACGTTCGCATCTGTCGATAAACACCACAGGAC